TGTAGTTTTGTTTTTTAATTCAGGCTACAAAACAGAATTTTCTATCTTTTCTCTAGCTGATAAAAGGCCTTCATCATATAATAATGTTATTTCAGGAAGGCTGCGTACATTGGAAGAGACAATATTTTTGGGGGAGGGAGGATCCTTTATTTAAGTTATTATTTATACAGCACCCTAAATGAGATATAAAATAATCATGTTGTCAGGCTCAAAAAACATACAGCCTAACTCAGAAAAAAATAAATGCAGAGCAACAGTTTCAGCATGGGAGAGAGTTGAAAGATCATTTGTTCAGAGGCCAATGTAGGAATAATTTAGGAGAGAAGTGGCTTTAAAGGAAAGAAACAGAGAAAGAGCTCAGAAGACAAGAAGTGGGAAGCTGCCCCATATGTAGAGGGACACCACAAAAGGCCATGTAAATCTGCAAATGGCAAAATGGGACAAAGGGAGGAGTAAGGACAGGCACTGGGAAAAGTGCAGAAAGCAACAGAGGGAGTGGGAAGAAGTAGAAACAGAGATTTAGGCAGAGGTGAAATATCTTAGTCATTCTTCCTGACCACCCTAGCCCATTTCTGCTTTTATGATGTCTTTCATATATGGTGTGTTTAGACTTACATACCTACAGAACTAATCTGTTATTCTTTTTTCCTGGCAACTGATGGGCTGGAGACTAACAAACCTCTAAATTATGGCTACATTAATTTTATTGCAACTCAGTGTTTTGAATAATTTTAATATACTATTTTATTGTATTTAAATTACTATTACAGTGACCAATGGTGATGAATTGTGCTTCAGTGTTTGAATTGTTCTTGGCCCAGTTAAAAATGGAAGAAAATGGTGGACCTGCACATTATCACCTGGCAACAGAAAGCGGAAAAAGACATCAGTTTCTTCAGCCCCCTTTTTACAACATGACAGTAAAGCAAAGCATTCAGTTTGAAATTAAGTGGGGATGTTCCTTTTCTCCCTACCCAAAAGGTCAAATAGCCAAGGAACAAGCATTAAAATTATATAACTTTATACAGCAACTGGAACTCTGCAATGTTAGAGATGGTAAGGGTATATGTCATAAGATGGGGAAAGAGTGACATTAATTTGATCAAAGAAGATTGTGCAGTTGGTATATCAATGGTACCTTGGTTAGGACTAGATATTAAGATTACTAACCTCATAATCCAATCTGGCCTACTGAGGTGGAAGATAGCATAGAACATTTTCTGTTGTTAGAAACAATTTGTTTCTATGAAATATGATTTATTATTTTCTACTATCAGAAGAGTTTTGTTTCTGAAAATCTCATTTTCTACCAAGAATTAATACAATGTGTTGTGAAAGAAAATATACATTTAAAAAAAAATATTCAGTGAACTACCATAAACCACATTTTGGAAAATTTACTTAAGGTATCTGTAAGGAACTTCTGAACAATATCCAGAATCAAAGATAAAATTGAAATGCTAAACTAAAAACACAATTTTAATTATATATATACACAATAATGTTTTCCCTTAAAAATACAGAACTTTGGATTTAAAAATATCTATATAACAACATTTTTTGCAGCTCACAGAAAATAGAGGATTTAAAGGAAAAGACTATAAGAACACAGGATGGTACACAAGCCTTCAGATTCTTTTGACTTTTATTGACCCATATGACAGGTTTCAGAGTAACAGCCATGTTAGTCTGTATTCGCAAAAAGAAAAGGAGTACTTGTGGCACCTTAGAGACTAACCAATTTATTTGAGCATAAACTTTCGGGAGTTTCCACAGCATGCACCCGATAAAGTGAGCTGTAGCTCACGAAAGCTTATGCTCAAATAAATTGGTTAGTCTCTAAGGTGCCACAAGTACTCCTTTTCTTTTTATTGACCCATACGTCATTTTACTCCTCCTCAAGCATTACAACCCTAGGTGAAAAGAGCAAAGAAACCCTTCTTAAAAGATATTATTTGAGTACTAAAATGGAATGTAAATGCCACATAAAAATGAAGGGAACTGACCAACAATATAAAACATGCTATCCCTTTAAATCAAGATGCTTTACCCAATACCATGCTGAATTTATAATACAAGAACCAAACGTAATAATTTTCTTCTTAATTAGAATCTAGAGACCCACCTAAAATCTTAAATAATTCTGGAGACAACGCTTTTTATTGACCAGTAAAGTGTTAATATAGGTTCACATCTAAAATTGTATCTCTCTTTTGTATAGTTATCTTTCACCATAGCTGAAGATCTGACTGAACTTAGACACCTTGGAAATGCAATAAAAATAGAAAAAATCTTTTCAGTAATTTTGCAGAATACATTCTTTTCCAGAGATCCATCAAACTGTCAGTCACTGATGATGTGGTAAAAGCATCTATTTCAAAAATATGCCTCTTTACATAAGGAAAACTGGTACTTTTACACAACCCAGCAATCATGTAACAACTAGGTTCTCCAGACCAAAAGATTCAAGAAATTACCAATTTTTGGATATTCTGATTATAAAACTATATGAAACATCTAGCAGTTGCACTTTTTGTTTAGCTAAAGAAAATGGCCTCTTCTGCTGTGTTGAAGCAGGTTCATACTAACGTAGAGAAACTAAAGACATATCAATCCAGAAATATGATGCCATTTTACAATTTTATGAAAAAGTCATATCTATATAATTTACTTATCCCCGTAGCATTTTTGTTTAGAAGTGTTTCATAAAGATGCTGTACGTCAGTCCCATAATAGTCCAAAAACATGTATTTTGGGAGCAAAAACGGAGTGCTGGAAAAATACAATAAATGGCAGGATTCAAAATTCCACTGAAGACACCGGGAAGTAATTTTAAATACATATTATCCCCACCGAAAAGTCAAATGTAAATTTTAAATACCTATGTATTTTATAGATGAAGGCATTAACATTTATCCAATTAACATTTGATTTATTCACCAAACTAAATAAATGTATCTTTAAAAGTGGTAACAATTATCAGACAGATGATTATTCTGTGTTTGATTAGAAACAGCTGCCCTAGTCAAGGCAAATGTATTTTCTCTCTTTACTAATACTGCCATGACAGCAGCACTCATATTGTAGAGATATTCAAAAGAAAAAACTTTTAAAAGACTAATTTTTTTGCCATTACTATCTCAACTCTCCATCATTTAACATATCACTTGTGATAGCATCAGCATTTCATTTTAAATAACAAGCACTCCCAAACTCCATGATGCCAAGCTTTGCCACGAGTGAGCCACAATCTAACTAAATAGGTAGGACAAACATATAGGACATCTCAAGATTCTTTCGGAATTTATTATTCAAGGGTTACAGTCCCATCGTATCTACACACAATAGTACAATGGTAATGAATTACTGTAGGTACATTACATAATCCTGCATATTTATAAAACTGATTTTTATACTTAGTGATATTGAACACATCCTGTATTCACAGTAAGTACTGAACTTCTTGGTATTCCGGCAAATGCCACTGCTTGAGAATACAGTGTTAGGGGTCCAACTGAGAGAATGATATAACTTCGAAGGGATACTTGCAAAGTAACTATATAGTTAAGTGCCAAAAGACTGGTTCCTTTAATTACTTAAGTTTTTTATCCATCATCAAAATAAGTGGAAAAAAGGATAATGTTTAATTCTACTGCAGTCTTCTGAATTTCCTGTTACTGAGCATGCCCACAAAGTCCCTCCCTGTTTTACATAGAAAACAATAATGGTACAAATGGAATAAATCAATATGGTTTCTGTAAGATATTTTCCCCCATAGACTGTTGTTTATCAGATATATTTATATTTACTCAGTTGTTGATTGTATGGATAATGAATCTTTCAAATATAAAAAAAGAAATTAAGAATTAAATCCATAATTTCATTTAGTTACAATATATAGTAAAGGTCAGAAAGAAATATGAGCAATCCTAACACAAATTAAAATGAAAAGGACTTATTGCCAGGATCTTATATCATGTGGGGAAGAAGCTGATGCGCGGAGACCATATGGTGGTTATACCTTCCATACAAAAAAGCCCATTTTGGTATAAAATAATCAATTAATGATAAGTAATTCTAATGCAGACCAGTAAAGTAAAAATTACTTTCCCTTTATTCATTTAAATAAATGTTCTACTCTGAATTTTTAAATGTATTCACTGCAGGCCTTTTATAACATATAGTCTTAGAAAAATACACCACACACACACTCACCCATAAACACACCCTCACAAAATAAACAGAAATCCCCCCACATACATCCAATAAGATTTTTTGAACTGAAACTAATAAAGATCATTTTTCATGCTGACAGTGCACATTTCATCCATAAGTTTGAAGAGTCAAATGCTACCACAGCTGGGGGTTATTCTGCCAAATGGCTTCCAACAGTGACCATAGAGATGGAGGATGGGAGGGGTGCGTATGTGTGTGTGTAGGGAAATAGCAAACCTGATGGGAAGCAAACCAAAACCCAAATCATCTTATCACTGATTATCTGACATATGCAATCAAACATACAATGCAAACATGGAATACAAAATTATTGAGAAATAAAGTCAAATCTTGAAAACAAGAAATTTGTGGGTTACCTGCAGAGATTTAAACAAAAAAGCATATGAATGAATCAGATATATTTCATACGGATTTATCCAGGGAGGAGGAAAGGAGGGGTGAGTGTGGGGGTTGGAGGGGAATAGATACCTTTTTTCTTAAACAAATCCATCATGAAAGAAAATGAGACAAGATTATAAATAAGAGGCCGAGTTATAGCGCACCATGGGATTTTTAATCTGGCTACCTGTGGTTTTCGCAGTTAAAGCTTTATTCAGCAGTGGAGGAGGGGGGTGAAAAAAGAAAAAAAAAATCACATTTATATGTCAGTTTCACAAATGATCAAACAGCGAGCATTAACAACAATGCTGGAAAACGGAAAACGCTGATTATTATATATATATTTTTAATAAGCATACAGCTTTTCAAATGTTATTGATCATTACCTGTGCATCTCGTTTCCGGCATTCTTGAGTTTTATTCTCGTGCTCCATCATGGCAGCGCGGAGCTGTTTTTCCAGTTTTTCAATTTCCCGTTCGTGATCTCGGACCAGGCAATCCTTCTCTGTGTTGTGCTGCTGGAATAGGTGCGTCTTCTCCTGTTCATGCTCCAGCTTCAGCTCTACTATCTGATTGGACAATGAGGAGTACAGTTCATCAATAGAACATCCTTGTCGTCATGACAACTCGTCTACAGCTTAATTTCCCCCCCTAATTTCATCAAGTTGGCAATTGTATTTTTACGTCATTATTACCTCACCTTTTTAAAACTACATTTGGCTTGAAAGAATTTCTCCAAATAATTTTAATATTCAAGACAACTAAGCAAATCCGGTGCATCCTTAACCAATTTGTTGGTACAAATGAGGGAACGTTTAAAAAAAAATAAATCATTCTCGCATTCTGTGTATGTTCCCTAAGTATCCTGCTGTTGCTAATCAGCAGTAGTAAGGATTATAAATGGTTAATAATCAGTCTGCTCTCCTCTTCATTTAAGTATACACACAGACAAAAAAAAGCAGCAATTAAATCTTTTCAAGATTTCTTTATGATTTCCAAAATCAAAGCTCAATAATCATCTGGGTTATTGTATATACAGTTGTCTTTTTAAAACAATTATAAAAAAAGCAAAGCTCTATTATCTCGTTGTCAGCTATGGTATACCAACATAAACAGATGTATGTGTTCCAGAAGGGGACCTGCTGTGCAGCAAGCTTGCGCCATGATTTCATAAAAAGCATTCTATTCTCAGGATCCTTTCCCAGTCCACACCACACTGGATACTGTGACCTTGGCCAGTCTTAGCCTCTCCGTGCTAGACTGAATGGCAGCCCGAGACCAAGGGCCTGGTTGCCGCAGCTTTGATACTAATCCTCCCAGACTGTGCACAATGGCACCCTACCTGGCCTGCAAACTATAGCCAGCTAGGCTGCCTTTGAAGCAGGTGATGAATAGGGGACTGCAGGAAGCCAGCTTCCCTAGTGAACTCCAGGCCACACAGCTGCTAAGAACAGTCACTTGGATTTTTCTTCAGTTTTGGTGGATTTCAGGAAGGGAAAAAAACGCCGTTATCAAGAATATGTTGGGTTATTTTCAGCGTGAGAATCCTCCTTCAAAAAAGCTAACAGTAGGAGTCTGCTCAAAATCGATCTTGTTTGTGTATGGAAAGCGCCCAGGCACCTGATCTTAAAGCTACAGCATTCAATTCTGGAAACATGCATTCTGCATCAACGTTAGCTGTTCCGTGATTTTTGTTTTGTTTTATTTTTGTTCAGTTTCAAAACCATTCTTGCAAATTGCTCATCAGTGTATTATGAATTTAAAATTTAAAACCTGTTTTCAACTCTGGAGCTCTCTGATATATCCTGGGGTGTGTTTCATTATCAGAAAAGGCACAAGCAAAAGTGATATTTTAATATTTTAAATGTGTCTGCATCTTTTAGTAAAAAATAAAGAGCTCATTTACCCATGGGTGCAATCCCAGAAGGAGTTTAAAAAAACATTAAGAATATATTATGTGTACTTGACTTGGAATCATTATACAAAGTGCTTTAAGTCAGCCTTGTGTCAGAAGTTTGTGTACATGCTATTTTCTTTTCAAACATTGTGAATATCTATGCCCTTGGTCTCTTTAAATGATAGTTATTCTTACTTCCTAAAATTTATCACTATCCAATGTTTGTCTGAATTTTAGAAAAATGAAGTTTTTACATTTTAAAAGTTCTGCAAATACAAAACTAATACCTGATGAGAAATTACACTTGCAAGAGAGACCTTTATATGTCTATTCACCGTGTATATAAAACTCCTGACTGTATTTTCCACTGAATGCATCCGATGAAGTGAGCTGTAGTTCACGAAAGCTTATGCTCAAATAAATTGGTTAGTCTCTAAGGTGCCACTAGTACTCCTTTTCTTTCTCTTTTCCTTTATTACTTCTGGATTTCTCAGATAATCAATTAATTTAGCCTTTTTGGTTTTGTTTTTTCCACTTCTCCAACCAAGCCACAGAAATAGATGGTCACATCCCCATTTGTGATTGTATTAAAATGGTAACTATAACAAAATCAGTTTTTCCCCCAAAAACCACACATTTCTCGATTTACTATATTTATATTATGCCTGTAAGATCCTTTTAAAAAAAATTAGAAAGGACTGTCCCTCATATTTACAGTAGGGGTGTCCTGGAGCAATAATACAGTTTTAGATATAGAAACAATGTGAGTGTGAGGAGAGTCATTTTATAAAAAGCAATTTGGTTGCCAAAAACTTCCAAGAGCAAACAACTCCCTGTAATTCTGATTTTTATTTATTTTTTTAAAAAGCTTAAAACTGTGGGAAGTTCTCATATCTACCTAATAGCCTTTAATAAATAATAATAATTATTGCATACTTGCAAGGAAATATAAGTTTCATTAGCAACTAAAGGTACTTCCTTGTAGTTTGTTTTGATTATGATTTATAATATGAAGTGAATAACTGAACAGCTATTTTACTGCACAAGTGGATCCTCCTTGATCACCCTGTTCTCCTGAACATATTAAGATTTTGATTACACTACAAGTGCTACTCCATTCCTCCTCCCCTCTTATCTCTCTTTTTTTAATTTTGATGTTTTTATTCATAAAAATGGAGATTTAATCTATACCAGCAAGAACAAGAACACCATGCTGTTTTTCAGCAATAACCCAACTCCCTCACCAAGATAAACTGCTTGGAAACTGTATTAATGCTTCATAAACCAGCATGGGGTTCCTACCACTATGTACTTCATCTCAGTAGAAGCAGATCTTTATTTTTCTTCTTTCTAATATTGGGTCCTTTCCTTCGAGGCACTGAGCACATCCTATGAAGGGTACAGCACAGTCAAGTCCTTCAGAAGTTCTACGGGTGTTGAGGGGCCTCTGCACCTCAAAGGAAGTGTTCCACATTTAAGGGTTTTGAACCCTGAGTGCAATATAAAGGCAGGTCAAAGCATGAACAACAATTAACTGGTAATTTTAACAGACTGTTCTTTTTACAAAATATTCTGACAATTGATTAAAGGGTACGGAGCTGATGATGCCATGCACTGCAGATAAACAAGCAACAGAGAATGACACAAAAACTATAGAAGTGGACATCACCTGAAGAAAGACTGGAACATGAGAAAAATCAGAGGCTAAGGGAAACATGCCAGGGATCACAAATGTCTAGAGGAGACTGACTGTAGGAATTGAGGAACTGAGGTAAGTGCCCTATCACCGCATTCATATTTAATTACATTACATACATATTGCACAGATGCTTCCCTATTTCCCCCCAAAATTATCATCACACTACATTACTTGCTAGTAACTGGAGTTCTCTGAATAAATGGTTTCTACGCTTCTGAATTCTTACTCTGTGACACATAGTTTTCATTTAATAACTTCCAATTGTCGGCATGTTAAACACTGGAGGTGTGAAATCCTGGCCCCATTGTAGTCAGTGGCAAAACTCAAAATGATTTCACCCTATATTTTAAAATCTTTGTTCACTGGTTGAAATTTAATAGTACTTCCCTATCCCAACTTGTCAGAGAAGGGGAAGGGAGAAAAAAGGAAGCAATTCTTAAGTACCAGCCTGTTACTAAAAAAGAAAAGGAGTACTAGTGGCACCTTAGAGACTAACCAATTTATTTGAGCATAAGCTTTTGTGAGCATCCGATGAAGTGAGCTGTAGCTCACGAAAGCTTATGCTCAAATAAATTGGTTAGTCTATAAGGTGCCACTAGTCCTTTTCTTTTTGCAAATACAGACTAGCATGGCTGCTACTCTGAAACCACCCTGTTACTAAAGATTAATCTAGTAACTGTGACAAGTCATCCATTGATCAGTGAAATAAAAAATTATTGCTAACCCTAAAACATAGTATGTGACCATCTTAGGCAACAATGCATGGCATTGACAAACACTGCTACTTATCAGAGGTGGCCTAATACAGTGGATGACAACTGTACTCATGACATTTGGGGATATTGTGGTACAGTCTCTTAAGAGGAGAGTTTGCCTAATAAAGGTAATTTCTTGGAGTTTGTCTACACTAGGCACATTTTTGAAAAAACTCCCACAAATGCTAGCACTCACTCAACTGAACTGGTCTCATCAAGCTTAGGTAGACAGCCTGCTGGCTGCAGAGAATGTTTTCAGCATTATATACATTGGAAATCAGAAGTCACAGAGCTCCTACTGCCACTACCAATTGTGGATGTTTAAAAAAAAATCTCTAGTGTAAACAAGATCTTCTACAGGTGTTGTTTTGACGACTCAAACTGTACTTGGTTTTTCCCAGAAAAGTTAAGCTCATGAAGAAGTGGGAACTGTAAAATGATTTTCAAAACCACATTGGGAGGGACCTGGAGTAAGTTACCTGTTTAAGTGCCCCTTTGAAAACCTATTGCTGTCACAATAAAGATTTCACACTGAAGTATGAAAATTCACTTAAATCTACAGATCACAACTGAGGAAATAATAAAATATATCATGATCTGTCTATATATAAAATAGGATTTTTCTAACTATTGTAAATATATTAACTTTATTTGTGAGCTTGTCTCTCCCTAAAATAAAAATAAAAGTTAGTGGTATTTGGCACATCCATAGAGTTTCCCATGAGGTTCTCAAGGTGCAACACAAACAGAAGAATTCAGCTTTACAACTAGTACCTGAGGTAAGTATAATTACCCTCATATTACTGAATATGGAAAATGAGGCACAAGGTCATACAGGTAATCTGTGACAGATCCAGACTCAGACATCAATGGTGGCAGTGAAACCCCACACCTCTGAAACACAGGCCATTAATTTAGGTACCTAAATAGGGATTTTCTTAAAATCTATTTTTTAAAATATATATATATATATAAATACATATACATACATATATTATATATATGCTTCACTATACACATGAAGTGTGATAATATCTCAAAAGCTGTACACCTTTTGTATGTTGTTTGTGTGCCTGTGTGTATGTGTACACACACTCATTTATATCAAATAGTCACATAAACATGTACAGTCTGAGTGGGTACATACATGATGGTTTGGTGTGTTATAAAGATTTTATCAGTAGGCGTTTCAGATGATTGCATTTTGTAGGGCCAGGG